AAGGATTTTTTTCCTCATATATTTCAAGTGAAATTTTTTACAAATTTCTTTTGAATTTCATTTCTGAATTCAATTTTCGAACATCCCATTTAATATTCCCACAATAATTTACGCAACAATTTTCTCTCCTATCTTCCTTTAACTCTAATCAATTGTTTAATCTTTCATTTTATCAAATAGTGTTCTTTCTTTCAAAAAAATATTTAAAGAATCACATTATTAGTCTATAACTTAGTTTCGCTCACTTAAAATATTTTGACTATAAAATCAATTATGTATAAAATTTATTTGTTATATAATAAAAATATAAAACAAATAAAAACCTATGCAACGCATGGGCATTAAAATTAGTTTTTAAATATAAAGCATAAGTTACAAGCTTCTTTATTAATTACTTTAATTATAATGCGCTACGGAAACATTAAATAACAAAAAGAAAAGGAAATCAAGAAGTTAATACTAAAATTGAACATAAAAATGGAAAAGAGAGAAAAGGAAAAATCTAAGAATGTTAGAACATCTAATTATAACAATTAAATGTGTAAGGTATACTTTATCAAATTCACCATATAATTATTATTAGACGTCTTGATATTTTTAATGTTGGAACATCTAATTTTCCATTTTTCATTAAAAAATAGATGACATTATTGTCATATTTTCAATTACTACTGCCACATTTTTTTATCTTAATTGATAATTATACTTTTTAATTTACTAAAAAATAAAAAAAATATAAAATTTTGAGAAAAATTATAATGTAAGGATATAAGAAGGATGTGGTATTACTTATTCAGGTTGTAACAATAACCCACCTAAAAAAATTAATGTAAAATTGGAGGGAGAAGTCATGTCTTAAAGCTTGCATTTTATACATAATTATTTTATGAGTAAATATTTCATAGTAATTTAAAAACTCCAATATGTTAGTGGTTTAGACTTTAGAGAGAAGTTACTTTACAGAGCTTTTTCAATTTGCAAATATATTGGACTTAATTGCGATGGAAAATTATTAGAACATCATCTAATTCAATACAATTTTCAATATACATCTTTTTTTTTTTTAAGGATTTTCAACATATGTCTAATTCAATTATTAAAATATAATATAAGTATAGTTAATTTTTATATGTTGCATGCATGATTACATCTTTGTTTGTCTGTTTTGAATTTCAAATAAAAGAATAACAATTTTTTATGAATATATTATATAGTGTATTGAACTAAAAAAATATATCAATTAGTGATCAATTGCTAATATCAAACTATTAAATTAAAAATTGGGATTTTCTAACAAATGCCTTAAGTTTCATTAATTATAATATTTGTAATTTATTTTACACAAATTTT